CTTGTGGTGTCTCAATTGAGTTACCCAAAACTAAGCACATTTTCGGAATAACCACGCAGGCTTTGCTCGTCCCGGCATGGAAAGTTACTATCTCTAAATTCAAAGATAGTTATTCAGAAAGCGGAAAATAAAGGTTATGCCAAAGACAACATCCAAATTTTCCGCGCTCTCGAGTGGGATGACGTCAAGCGTTGTATAACTTGCAAAAGTCGAGTAGACAGTCTAAAAAAGCAGTATTTTGCGCATTTTGTTTTGTTTTACCGGCGTGAGCTCAACCATCATTTATTTCGCACCATAAAGCATCTTGTTATTCTTCGGGCACAAGCTGTACTGACCCTGGATTACGACGTCTGACATCACGTTTTCAGTTTCCCGTAGAGTCCCTCCAACCCAATTCGGAACTCTAAAAACTTTGCCGAAAAAAGAAATTATTGTCGCTCGCAATTTAAGTTCCTAGTTCAGATGTGTGTACAAATGCGCTGAACCTAGTTTGAGGCAAATCAGTGTAACAATAAAAATTTCGCCGAAGCTCAGATTTGATGTTGAGAAACAACAGTGTGGCCAACGACATCCGCGCCACCCTAGGTAAGCAAATGGCGGCGGACAAACGTCACCAGCCCACAATGTCACGTGACTCGAATGGACAAATGAAAGCTGATTAGAACCTCTGCGTTTGAGTGTAATCGAGTGCATTATGCTCGCCTGTAACCGCTTACAATGGGAGAGCACACTGTCACACTGGTACCATCTATCGTTCGTGTCCTTCGGGGACGACCACGCTGATTCAAAAGGGTTTGGTGCAACAAAATACTAAATACGAAACACATATCCTAATTTCTCTTTCATCATTTTTTCACTGTGGGCTGGAAATACTTCTGACAATGTTATGAGCGAAAACTTCTCGTGAATTGTAAGTAGATTAGAACTCGCAAGTCGCGCAAAACCTTCAGTCTATTTATACGCAGTACCAGGGCTCCCTTATCGATGGCGTGAAACCGGTTCGGAGAAGAGCGCCGATATGCAGAGCGCAGGCACGAATCTCGCCCATCTTCGTCCCCCGGACAGCCGTGATCGTATAGTGGTTAGTACCTTGCGTTGTGGCCGCAATAACCCAGGTTCGAATCCTGGTCACGGCAGCGTTTTGTGTTTACTTTTTTTTTTTAATTTTAAATGAAAATGTCGGAGTGTGATGTTCGGCGAGAGAGCACGCTGGCGCTATCCATCCGGAGACCCTGCAACTGCATTTCACTAGAGCGAAGGATTTACCAAGTTCTGCGGTATTTGCGAGGTTAGATGTACGAACTACGTAGAGCCACTGACTAAGCTACCCTTCAGAGTAAACGACACTTTGGTTGCCAGTTATCTGAAGCCTTAACAAAAATCGCAGGAAACGCTATTCCGTCTTCCAGAAATGTTGAAATACTTCTTGACAGAACAAAGCAATTTCGTCTGAGCTTCCTAACACCCTACTGAAGCTAAGAAACTCGCTTTTTTTTTTAATTGTGACGATCGGCAGTTGCGTCTGCTCTGCACTAAGCACAATATGGAGGCGCCCACTATCAGATCGGGGAACGGAGTAACGTTACTGTGAGCGCAGCTCATTTAGTGACTCTAGTACTACCTTGGAAAAGCGGTCGTTCATAATATTAACCAAAGTTCGTCAAGCAAAAAAAGATAAATAATAATAATAATACGCGAAACAAAATAAAAACAAAAAAAGGGAAATTTACGGAACTGCCAAGTTCCGTAAATTTCCTTTTTTGCGATAGGTGTGTTAACGCGATAGGAGGCGCTAGGGTGCCTACATGTGCGGAAACATGTAGGCACCCTAGGTGGCACCATTGTATTCTCTCGTCGTGAAAGGTTTGAAGAGGCTTCAAGGCATACGGTCCTAAGGTGACTTCAGGGTGTGAACGGGCCTTTATTCGAGCTTTCGTTCTTTTATGACGTGATATACGTCTTCTGTCGGTTTTGGCAAAAGTTATTTTATGCTTTTGGGTACCGTTTCCTCGCTTTCCTGATAATTTCTTCAATGATCTCTTGTGACGGCCGCGTTAACGCATCGGAAATAGTCGCCGATTGGTTACAGTTTTCTGCCACACTGAGATTAAAGAGGCAGTCACGATTGTGTTTCACGTCAAAGTTGTGCAGCGACTAGCGGGTAATCTGAGCAAACGCATCCCCCTCACACGAGCCACATAAAAATTGTGAACAAAATGAACTATAAAAAGATGAATAACTTACTTGACCGGTATAGGTTCTTAATTCTCTAACTTATTGGCTAATTGGTTGATTATCAAAAACGTATTGATCGTAGCCGACCTGTTAAATAATGCTTAATGAACTGGATTAACTACCGACCTATCATATAACTCAAGGGTTTCGTACTTGCGGCTCGCGGGTCGCACGTGGCCCTCTGCTCGCTGGGACGCGGCCCGCAGGAAGCCGGCTGCGAGCCCCCGTTCCCATGTCTCGAGTCATAGCCTCATCTATACTGATAAAGCCTGGCAGATTGCCACGAAACGCGGCCGCTGAAAGTGAAAAGGCAGAGCGGCAAACAACGGATGAAAGGAGAGCTATGTAACGGGCGCCCCACTGCGGCGAGACGCCGAAACACACTTGTTTCGAGCGATGGAATGTCCGCTCGTGCTTCTCGTGTTCTCCGCGTTACTGCTTCTTTTCTCGTCAGATTTGAAAACCATGTTTCGGGTACTCGCCGCTGCAAAAGTTGTGCGCTGACTACAGTGCCCTCGAGAAATGCTCCGTGCTACCAGATCCTCGCGCTCCAAAGCTGCGACTGGCACTCTATGGCTATGTCATCGAACTTACGGACTTTGTGAGTATAGAGGAGGCTAAGCACGAGCACTAATGGCACGCGCGATAATGATCTCATGGCGCCGATTCATTTCTGCCCGAAACTTGGCTCTGCTGTTCTAACGTATCCACCTAGTTTATAATGTTCTCTTATTATTTTCCTTGTGTTTCTTTTCAATTTGTGCTTTCTAGCTTTTTGTCATGTTAATCACCTGCATGCCAATGCGCTACTATATAGGCTGCAAGCGCGAGCTCTTTGCTCAAGGACGTTCGTCGAATGCACGAACTCTCGCCCAGCGGGAACAATTCTGCCAAAGATAAAATTACAGGCTTGGGATTGTCACCTCAAAACAGAAAATATCACCATTAAAATGCATCTAGTCTCTCACGCTGCTGCTATTTAAATCGTCAAGAAACCCTAATATGTCACATGAGGACATTATTTTACACTTGTTGATTTCGATTCATTCACGAGTGGATTCAGCAACGGGAACGACAGCGTGCTTCCTAACTTGATTTAATAAAAAAAAATTTTCAGCACGTTAGCGGGGCGATGCCCGTTTAATTTTTGTCATCACATGGGTAAGGGCCTGAAGCAGTCCAATAAATAGATCAAAGCTAATGATGTCACTTGCAAAAGTGCGAGTTCATAAACGTAGAGACGACGAGGCACCTTATCTATAAAACCTCCTGATTTACTCCCCTCCCTCCCCTTTCCCTCTACGCTGAACCTCGACATTTTGGGGGTGGGCTGTCTGGCACGTACGCTCAAATCAGTTTGAGACCCCTGATATAATTGATTGAATAATCATTTTTAAATTTCTTACGTGAAGATGAATGTTGGATAACTTAGTTATTTCGGTACTAGCTTATTTAGTTATTAACTTACTGATTATTGACTAATTGCTTTGTGGATTTTTGTACGTGAATGGATATATCAACCTACTGTGGCTGATGAACCTACTGAATGACCTGAATATTTTTTTATTTATTTCAATTTAGACAATTTATATAAAAATCTACTGATCCCACTGATTCATCGATCTATAATCAAAGAAAGCGGCAAGATAGATTTTTCATGATTCGCCATGATTCGCCAACAAAGCTCATAAGAAAAGCCTGACTTGCTGCTCAATCAAAACTTGGTCGATTAAATTTTTTCTACCTCTGTTAAATTACTTATATAAAATTGACAAAACGAAGCATGTAAAGCCTTCGGAAGTAAGAACCACTAGACACAAGCACAACAATACGCTCGCTGAGTATTCCTTTAATATTAACAGTTTCAGATACTATAAGATATCTGAACAAAACAAAGGCAGTTTCTTTTAGTTATGCAAGTGTTAACATGTTTATTGGTGCCATTGAAAACCAACTAATTCGACAATCTAAGACTTGGTATGTTATTTATTAGACGCGCGCCTTTTTTTCGTTCTTTATTTAATCTTGGTTAACTCAAATTGTATATTTGTGATTTCTCTTTTACCCCAGTGCCTGCTATAATCCCTAGAAAGATTGGCAGTATTCTGAAATAAATAAAAAAAAAATATTATCACTGTCACACCTGGCAGTATTATATGTCTCTGGCCACATAACTCACCTGCACAAAAGGCATTATAGTATCTTTCATGACTTTTTAAAACAAATCTGCATAGCCTAAAAAAACACCATGTATACTGAAAGGTCGGGGCAGCAAAAATCCATCCATAAGCCCGCATTTGCATATTGAAATCGCAATATATACACAAGCGAGAGCCAGTTGCAATATTCTCGTCGGGGAATGGAAGGACGAATATAACCCGCGCAGCAACTTCGAGCGCTTCCGTTGGTACTTATGGCCCATAAGTACCAACGGAAGTGCTCGAAGTTGCTGCCGGGGTTATGGGTAACAAAAACATAGAGGCAAGTGGCACCGTTTCATAAAACGCAACAGCGGAAATGTTGTAACTTACCGATGGACGAAGACAGAATAAAACAATTAAAACTGGGACAACACAACCACATCTTTCAACTAGCAACAGACGAGATCTGTTGCTAGTTGAAAGATGTGGTTGTGTTGCCCCAGTTTTAATTGTTTTATTGTTTCTTCATCCATCACTTCAACCAACACGCTCTTCTCCCAAGTGTTACTTACCGATTGATTGACTGGTTGATTTCTGACGACCGTGGTGTCTCCACCCCTTCAGGTGGTGCTCAGCCACATCGTGGATGGCCTGGTGCCCACGGGCTCGTTCCAGTCCCCGAAGCTGAGCTACGACCTGGTCAGCGAGCGAGCCCACCCACTCCGCGTGCGGATGCGTGGCTCCAACTTGACCGTGAATGGGGTGCACGTCCTTCGACCGGACCTGTTGGCCAGGGACGGCATCGTGCACTGCGTCAACGGAGTGCTGCTGCCGCCCAGCACGGAGCCAGGGAAGGGCGCCGGAGGCAACTAGCCGCGGGTCATCACCAGTGCATTCATTAGTGAACGCCATCACTAGTGAATCCACACAGCGCCAGCTACCTTGCGTCAGTATGCTGCCGCCAGCGAATCTCAAAGCGTTTTACAACCAGCGCTGTGCAAACATGAGGCGTTACCAAGACGGACGCGTCTGTCGCTTTGCGTCGACTCTCGAGCTTCAGCGTGTTTGCTGCTTGGGGCGGGCCGGGCATCCACTAGCGATGACGTCATTATCAGGGATGTGTCTCCTATGCTGTTAGCCCGACAGTGAGAGGGGGAACCATTAAAGGGGCGGTGCAATGATTTTAACACTGAACGAATGTGCAGCTTGTATTTTTTATATTGTTTACTTCGGCATAAGTAAGAGAAAAAGTGCCACCATACCCCAAAATACCTCTATTTCGCTGCGTAATCGTAAAATTAAAAAAACGCTTTTTTTCCCAACCTGCGGCATGGTGGCCGCAAATGGAACCTGTGGTGGCCGCAAATGGAACCTGTGGTGTGACGTCATTCGGAGTGGTTTTTGTAAGTGATAGTGTTAAGCAATTCTAAGTTTGATTTATGGTTAAGTTTAAAAAATCTCGTTGTTTAGGCATGCAGAAACGCTTCAAAAGCCTAATATTGCCGCTAAAAGGGTACGAATTATTTGTGGCGCCATCTACCGCAAGTCAACAAAACCTGCCGTCGCCGTCATCCGTCGACACCTGAGGCGCCTACGGCGGCTACACGAGCAACCCGGACGTTTTGTCTTTCCCTCGCTCGACGGAGTGCATTGGTCGTGGTCCGTAGTATCGTGGTATCGTTATTGTTACTGGTGTCTCGACCTCGACTTCGACTTCGACTGCCCGCCGCGTCGCAAACATCTTGCGCTCGACGTCGCTGAGGCCGTCCGCCCATGCCGCCATGTTGGTCGGGAATCGGCGGGAGAGCGGGAGAGCGGGAGAGCGGCGAGCCTGGCGAGCCGACGAGCGCTAGGAAAACGGAAGCCAGAAGAACCCAACCGGAAGCCAACGCCACTCCGAATGACGTCACAGGCGAAGCTGGTGCCGCTTCAATGTTGAGTTGAGAGGTGCCAGAGATACCAGTTTCTCTTATTTTTTTTTTTTTTTAATAAAAACTAGGGCAAGCAGGAAAGAATAGTTTTCGGTCCTTCGTTTTATATGTGGCCGGGATCAATTCCCGCAATTAATTAGCCAAAGTCCGCAAATTGTTGCACCGCCCCTTTAAAGCGCGTTAAATTGTTGTCTCGCCCCCTCCTCCTCTCTCCCCCTCCCCCTAAACAGCTGTCCAAACAGCACACGCTTTTTTAATAAAAAATAATTAATATTTTAGTGTTACTTTATCTCGATTTTTGATGTCAAATTCTGCGAAGGTTTGGAGATATATCCTTTACAGAAATGACACTCCTGGTAGTTTTATTATTCAAGATAAGTGTGTTAGTGGCCCTGTGGTTATCTCTAATAGCTTTAATAAATATTTTTACTCAGTTTTTATTTTTGACAACTGCATTTAACCTAGTTTTCGTTAAGATATTGTGTTTAGTTCGTTAGCAAATATCCAGGTTAGTGTTGACGGTGTGCGCAATTTGCTCTTGAAGCTTGACAACAAAAATTGTTCAAGCCCGGATAATAGAATTCCTTTTTGCATCGTTATTCTGATTGGACATCGGGATAGTTAGCTATTATTTTCCAGAAGTCACTTTCCTCCGGAACGGTATCTCTAGTTTAGATATCAACAAGAATAGTCCCTATACACAAACATGGTAACAAACAGAGCCTTAATAATTATAGACAAATTTATCTTACGCCTTCATCCAGTAAAATTCTTGAACACATAGTATATAAATACATTTCTTAGTATCCTACGAGCAATTAATTTATTTGTCGACAGCCTGGTTTCCGCCGACATTTTGCAACCACTACGGAACTTGTGGAACTCACTCGTGACATCGCTTTATCCTTGGATAAACGAGGACAAGTTGACGACATTTTCATTGATTAGTCAAAGGCTTTGGACAAAGTATCGCACCCCAAGTTACTTTTGAAGTTAAAAGCAATCCTCTTTTACTAGACTGAATTTTTGAGTACCTGAATTACAGCTCGCAGTTTTCTTCATTTTGCGAATGCCTTCTCTTCGGAGGTTTCGGTTAGTTCAAATGTGCCGCAAGGATCGGTGTTAGGTCCTCTTTTATTTATTTCATAATCAATCATGTTGTTGAAAACATACCGGTCAAAGTTCGTCTTTATACTGATGACAGCATTCTGTACAATGATATTACGTCCATTATTGATCACTTCTTACTTAACGAATCTTTCCTGCGCTTTCTTGCTTTCTTAGTTAGAGTAGGGAATGGCAAATAGACTTAAATTTTGACAAGACTATATGAGATTTGTACATAAAACATGGCACCTTGTTTTTGGTTATGGTATTGATAATGTACTTTTAAACGAAGTTAGCGAGTTTAAATACTGTTAGGAAAATCGACGGTTTAAAATCCCAGCTTTCGGCGTTCAACGTTCCATCGCCATCCGTCCTTTTTCTCGCGCCTTCTTCCTGTCCTCCTTTTCGTCGTCTTCTCATTCACAGCACCGCCACAACACTGCCCACCGACAACACATGAACCTCGTCCCGAGGATGTGCAAAACAATATATTCAGTCAGGTTGATAGGGAACCAGCCGATCAAAATGAACTACGTGAACTTTCCAGCTTAGCAGTTGCCGAACCCGGTGCACGACGTCGTTTAGTCGCTGGACAACTTCGTAGGGGCCTTCCCAATTGGGCTGAAGTTTCGGGCAGCGACCTTTGGTGCGGCGTGGCTGGTGCAGTCACACTTTGTCTCCAGGCTGGAGTATGCGACCCGAGCAGCTTCGATTAGCGGGTTTTTGCACTTTCACTGCTCAGGTGCAAATGTCTTCGTGCAAAATCGTGCACACAGTTCAGTTTCGTTCGCAGGTGGTGGGAGTAGTCAGAGTAAAGAACTCTGCGTGTTGTCTCACGCGATGGAAGCACTGGCGTGCCAAAAGTAATGTCCGCAGGCAGCCTTAGCTCCCGGCCCATTAACAACATCGCTGGCTTGTAGCTTGTCTCACTATGAACGGCTGACCGGTAGGAAAGTAGGAAGAATGGAATTAGAGTGTCCCAGTTGTCCTGGTGCTCGTTAACGAAGAGCGAAAGGTATTGCTTGAGTGAGCGGTTGAGCCTTTCTACCATGCCATTCGACTGAGGATGCAAGGGCGTGGTTCTCGTCTTCCTGACTCCGAGTGTCTCACAGATGCTCTTGAACACTTGCGACTCAAAAGTCCGACCCTGATCAGAATGAATTTCCAGCGGTACCCCGTATCTTGAAACGATGTCTTCCGTCAAGATCCTCGTTACAGCGTCTGCGTCGTACGTTCGTACTGGAAACGCTTCTGGCCATTTGGTAAAGTAGTCAGCAATGACTGTGACGTACCGATTTCCTTGTGTCGTTTTCGGTAGTGGACCTATCAACATCAATGGCCACTCTTTCAAACGGGACACCGACGTTGTAGGTTACCATCCTCCCTCGGCTTCGTGATGGTGGTCCTTTACGCGACGCACAGGGGTCGCACTTCTTACACCATTCGCGCACATCTCGGGTTGATCCAAACCAATAGAACCTTTCTCGAACTCGTTGTAGGGTCTTGTATATCCCAAGATGTCCGCCAGCAGGGCTGTCATGAAGTTCTCGCAAGACGGTGTCGACACGGACTTGAGGTAAAATGAGCCGAAGCGTGCTGTTTCTTCCGTCTTTGCTCTCCCAGCAACGATACAGCAATCCATCCTGTGGAATGAGAAAATCCCATTGTGCCCAGTATGCTTTCACGACGCTGTTGTATGGTGCAACCACGTTCCCAGCTGGGTACTTCTCCCACCCGCTTCCACCGCAAAATAGGTTGCAAATTGCTATTGTTTTCTTGAAGCACACGGAGAACAACTGCAGTCCAGTTTGTCGGGTCTTGGTCATCTTGCTGGTGTTCTACCATCGCAGGGCACGTAGTCGTTTGGGAAGACGACAACGGTTGGCAGTCCAATGGAAGGCGCTGCTCGCTTTTCAGGCATGGGCGACAGTTGCCAGACAAGCAAGGTCGCCGCGAAAGTGCGTCGGCGTTTGCATGTCCCTTGCCGGGTCTATGCTCAATCCTGAACTCGTATTGTGCCAGCCGCTCTAACCACCTAGCTACTTGGCCTTTCGGGTTCTTGAAGTTTAAAAGCCAAGTGAGGGATGCATGATCAGTCCTTAAAGGGGCCCTGCATTGACTTTTTGACTGGTTTTTAATTTGCACTGAACCTGAGCGTACTGAACGTAGTAACTCAATCCAACTTTTCTTTTCTCAAATTTCGCTTTATTTTAAAAGTTACAGGCAAATTAGACTTACAAAAACAAGCAAAAAATAACCTCCTTCATGACGCCGTAGGTCCTGGCTTGAGTGGCCTTGAACTAGAGGAGGAGTAGTGAGCTCATCGAGCGCACACGGCTGCCGCACTTCCTGTCGACGGCTCTAGAGGGCGCCACTAAAGCACGTGTTGGATAGGCTGTATGAAGCGGGCGGCCAGGGCAGCTCGCATTGCATTTGCTGCGCGACTAAACACTAATTCGGCATAACATTTTATTGGCCACAAACGACAGCAAACACGGGGTAAAGATCAGTTCAGAACGGGAGCCACTTCGCGCTGACGCACCGCCAAATGGCCAAATCGCCAGCAGGGCCCGCGCCGAAGGCCTTCGGAACGCTCGGAACCGGTCGGATTCTTGAGCCGGTATACGACCACAGCGCCGCCGCGTACATCCGGGACCTTTCTACGCTCCTCGTATGCCATAGTCTCATCCCACTAGCCTTTTCTAGTATGCGCCGTTTTTTTCCGCCGCTTGGTGGCGGGTTTGTCGACGGGTCATTTCTCGTTTCCGTACTTTCTAAACTGCATTTGTTTCTTTTCTGATCTAAAATAGTGAACAAAAACTACTTTCACACATA